TCAACCCTGAGCCGGTGAGATTTGAACAGCCGAACTGCAGAACTGCAGTCAGCTGAAGTAGCCTGCAGTACTGCATTTAACCACTGCGCCACCTTCCAACTCTGCTATTCTATTAATTAATCAGTGGGACAACTTGCCTCCAGAAGTTGTGAATGCTCCAACACTGGAAGTTTTAAAGAAGAGATTGGACAGCCATTTGTCTGAAAAAGTATAGGATTTCTTGCTGAGCAGAGGGCTGGACTAGTAGACCTCTAAGATCCCATCCAACTTTGTTATTCTCTTATTCCTTCCCACACCCTGTTATTCTGTTCATACCAACAAAGCATCAATTCAAAAGAGGCCGTTACTTGACCATGGCTGATTTCAGGAAAGGCTACGCAGGGTTAGATCTGGTCTGATCCAACTTGGATGGGAGGCCACCCAGCGATTAACTATTTGTTTATCCAAATTTATGTGGCCACCCATCTCACAAAAAAGTGTGTCCGGGCAGCATACAACCATGAAAATTAAAAGTTCCCAAATTCCCAGAAAAAATCTTTTGCTCTGAAAGCTGCATGGATAATTTCTGGAACTGAGAGAAGCTTCACCTTCAATAAAGAAGCTGCCTTTAAGTCGTGCACAGAATTTTTGGCACGAACTAACACTTCTGAGCCGCCAGTGGGGAGGAAAAATCCATTTTAAGCCTTTGCCACATAATATTTTGAGATATCAGTGCAATAAACAACCACAATAAACTCCTTGCTCACGATTGAGGGTGCAGAATGGAAGGATTTAAGAGATAAACTCCACTTTAAACGCCATCCAACAAAGTTTCAAGGTATTAACTTTTAAATACTTTATGATTTTTTTATTTAGGAGCCTGAGAAAAAATACAATTTGTTGACTTTAGTAGTAAAAGTTATAGCTCTATACACAACTTCCTTCCTTCCTTCCTTCCTTCCTTCCTTCTTCCTACCTCCTACCCTTCCTTCTTCCTTCCTTCCTCAATCTCTTTTGTCCCCTCCCCTCTCTCCTTCCTCCCCTTCTCCCTCCCTCACCCTCCCTCCTTCTTCATCCCTCCCTTCTTCCTTCCTTCCCTCCTCCCTCCCTCCCTCACCCTTCCTTTCTCCCTCCTTCTCTCCCTCCTCCTTCCTCCCTCACTCCTCCTTCCTCCCCCACCACTTCCTCCCTCCCTCCTCCTTTCCTTCCTCCCTCACCCCTCCTTCCTTCCTTCCTTCCTTTCACAGCAAGTTAACAGATGGAACAATTAAACAGGGATCTGTAATCCAATAAACCATTTTTTTTTACATTTACTGACTTTATAGTAGTCTTCGAGTTACGACCAGATTTCAGCCCAAAATTTCCATCGCTAAGCAAGACAGCTGTTCAGTTAATTTTGCCCCGTTTTACAACCTTTCTCGCCAAAGTTGTTATGGTAATCGCTGTAGTTGTTAAGTTAGGACCACGGTCGTTCAGTGAATCTGGCTTCCTCACTGACTCTGCTTGTCACAAAAGGAGATCACATGACCCCAGGACACAGCAACCGTCACAAATACGAGTCAGTTACCAAACGGCTGTAAGTCGAGAACTAACTGTAGTCCTTCCTTTTAGAAACTGTCTCCCTTATCCTGCAGCTGGCCTACTAACGCATCCTGCTCCCTCCCTTTCCTTCCCCAGTCCTGGGTTCTAATCTTGCCATTTAGAGCCACAACGGAGCGCCCCTTCTCCGTCCCCTCAGCCGTAAACCAATCAGCTTCTTCTTCTCCGTATCGCCCGCACTCTCTTCCCATGTTCAAGGGGCTCTCGTCCTCTTCCTGGAGGACAAGAGCACCTTGAACATGTGCAGAGTGTCTTCCGCGCTATGGCATCCAGCTGCCCAGTGAGCTGAGGACGGACCAGGAAAAAAAAAAAACACGCCCGCGGGCTCCGTTTTTGCCAAATCGGCACCGGGGTGACGTGTTCGAGACTTACTTTCGGTGGCGCAGCCGGTCATCAGCCAGGAGAGCAGGCTGGCAACGGGGATGACCAGACACACTGGAGAACTGGGATGCATACTGAGGGCCGGGCAGGGGACTCCGACCTCGGCTGGGCCGCCTGCCCACCTCACCGGGGCTCACAAGTCCTCTGGAACTGGGTCAGAACCTGCAGCAGAGAGAAAGGAGACGGTTTGTGAGGGTCTTGTGAATGGAGCAAAAAGGAGAAAGGATGTTAGAAACCCAGAGTGTTAGACGGCCAGGTCTTTCCGGAATCTTCCCTGATTCTTTCTGCCCACTCTCCTTCTCTCCTCCCTTCTTCCTCTTTCCGCTCATCTCTCTTTCCTTTTTTAAACTTTCTTTTCTCTTCCTTCCTTTCTCAACGCCACCCTGCCTCCCTCTCTCCTTCCTTCTTTCTCTTTCCATCTCTCTCTTTCCTTTTTATCTTTCCTTCCTTTCTCGCCTCCTCCCTCCCTCTTTCAATTCTTCCTTTTTCATCTTTCTTTTGTCTTCCTTCTTTTCTCTCCTTCTCCTTCATCCCTCTCTCCTTCCTTTCTTCCTCATTTCTCTCATTTCCTCCCTCCCTCTCTTTCATTTTTTATCTCTCTCCCTCCTTCCTTCCGGCTCCCCCCCCTTTCCTTCTTTGTCTCTTTTTTCTTCGTCCCTTCCTTTCTTTTATCACTTTCTCCTTTTTTCCTTCCTCCCTCTATTCTTCTTCCCTCTCTTTCCTCTTTATCCCTTCCTCTTCCTTCCTAGCTGGCCTCTTTCTCTCCATCCGCCCTCCCCCTTCCTTCCTTCCCTCTTTCCTTCCTTCCTCCTTTCCTTTTCTCCCTCCCTCTCTTTTTAATATTTTATATCTTTCTTTCCTCCTTCCCTCCCTCCCTCGATCTCACGTCTCCAGACAGCAGTAACAAATCAACACTGTCCCAGATCAAAATAGCCAAGGTGCTACCCCCATATTCAACCACATTTCCGAGCAATCTCCTCACCCCACACCTCGCCCCACGGTTGAGATTCTCCACCTCCCCATTAGTGGGTGATCGATATTTCTACATGCGTCCTCCCCGTATCGAAGCTGTCTTTTGAGTTTGGGGGTCAGGATGGGGGAGAGAAGCCAAAAGAGAACAACAAAGAGGGCTGAGCTTTGGGGCAAAGTCCCCACCTCCCATCCCCCCCCCAAAATCCCTACTTCAATTATACTGTCACGGCGGCCTCCCTCAGTAACCAAGAAAGAAACCACTCAACTCCATTTTGCAGAATTTAAGAGTACTTTTACTGGTCATGAGTAGATAGCAGCTGGGCAAAGCAAGATCTTATTTATTTATTTATATTTATTATTTATTTTTATTATTTATTTTTATTTTATTTTATAATTTTATTTTATTTTATTATTTTATTTTATTATTTATTTTATTATTTATTTTATTTTATTTTATTTTATTATTTTATTTTATTATTTAT